TATCAATATGTATTTCTCTCAGGTGCCTGGGTAGCTCAGTTGGTTAAGCCTCTGCCTTCGGCTCAGGTCATGATCCCAGGGTCCTGGGATCAAGTCCCACTTCCTGAGATCAACTTCCTGGGATCAAGTCTCACTTTCTGGGATCAAGTTCTGCATCAAGCTCTCTGCTCAGTGGGGAGTCTGCTTCTGCTCTCTAAAGTGTGCTTTTTCTCTCTCAAATAAATAAAATCTTTTTTTTTTTAAATAATGTATTTCTCTAATTATTGTAAGTCCAGGATGCCAAGCTAGTGCTCGACAGCAGATCTGGTGTTAGTCTAAGGCCCAGGTCATTTGCTGGCGAGACTGCTTTCTACTTCCATCCCTCCCTGTCAGAAGCGCAGGGACTGCATTTGCAGTGACTTCAATGCGCACCTGCTGACCTGGAGGAGGAGGAGGCATGCAGGTAACCCTGGAAGAATCCTAAGATTGAAAAGCTTGAAATGAGTTGAAATAGACAAAAATGTACAACAGGAACCCAAATCTTGCACTTTCTCCCACGGTATGTTTTGGAGGGGACGGGGAAGGCGGCCAGTTCTTTCCAGCCAGGTATGAGCTCTCTTCCTGTTTCCTTCCCCCCCCCCCGCCCCCCGGGGGGCTTTCTGGTCTCTTGCTCAGCCTCACGTAGCCAACATGAAGTCGTTAGCCCAGCCTCGGTCTCCGAGGGCCTGCGTGTCCTGGGGTGTCCCGCGTTAGAGCGATTCATTGCGCCCTCTGCGCGCTCCTGCCCGGGGACTCAGTGCCCGGTGGCCCGCAGACATCCTCTGGGACCAAAGTCCAGGAGCAAGATTTTCCAAAATACTCCTCCCTCTGGCACAGCAACTGCCCTCAGGAATGGCTTCCACGAACTAGGGGTGGTGGAAGGGGAGGAGGGCGGGGGTGGGGGTGACTGGGTGACGGGCACTGAGGGGGACACTTGACGGGATGAGCACTGGGTGTTATTCTGTATGTTGGTAAATTGAACACCAATAAAAAATAAATTTATTATTAAAAAAAAAAAAAGGAATGGCTTCCACGTAGAACAGGCCGGGCTTTTACTCAAATGCGAGCGTCCGGACGCGTTATCAACAAGCCCTCCGGGTTCCGCGGCTTCTGCTGGGCGGGCCCGCAAGAGCAAGGGCAGGGTGTTTTGGTTTGGGTTTTTTGATTTTTTATTTTTCGCAATGTTCCACATTCCTCTGGGTCTGTTGTACATTTTAAGAGATTCCCTACAAAATAAATTAAACATTTATGTTTCTTTTTTATCTCGTTGAAACTCTGTAATTAAAAAAATAACCCTATTCAAAGCCGGAGAAAGAACCAAGAATGGGTCTAGATTCAAGCTCAGCGTCCTCGGAGTCCGCAGCAGGGCAAGGCAAGCCTCAGGGCTTCGGCCAGCTGGCCTTGGCTTTGCCCTGTCGCCCACTCCCTCCGCAGATCTGGGCACAGGGGGGCAGAGGGGACTCCAAGGGTGTCAGCCACCGCGCCCGAGGGCAGGGCTCGAAAGCAAAACGGGAAGAGTAAACCTGCCAGACTTCCTCTTCCAACGGTTGAGGTAAGAAAAAAAAAAAAAGAGCCCAGCCCTCCAGCCCTTCCCGGTGCTTGGGAGCCCCCAGGCCGGTCAGGGAAGGGGCGGTGGCGGGACAATCAAACCCAAGCCTGAGCCAAGAAGGGACAATAGTTTCAACATCCTGTTTGCAGAGGGAAACGGAAGCTGGAAGCAGCGGCTCCTCTGGGACCCAGGCCGCTTGAAAGGTTTGGGTTTCCTTCCCTGTAAACACAGCTGGGCCCCTGCAGGTGCCAGGGCTCCCACCTGCCTTCTGTACCCCACTCCCCCATGCTCTGCGGCCAGGCTGCCAGCCCCGAAGGCTCTCGGAAGGACGTGATGGGGGAGGTGAGTTTAGCAGCTGCCACTGTCCCCCTCAGATCCCGTTTCCAAGGGGCCAGAGGACTCTCCCATCCTGCGCTGCTTCCCCGTAGTTGCAGATGATGTATATTTGCCTTTTTTCCTTAACAGTTCATAAGCACAAGTGACAATTACAGTACCACTTGGGAGGGACAAACACAAGACAACTAGAAACAAAAACCCAGGAAGTCAGAAATGGTTTAAAATATGGTGCATCTGTCCAAGAGGAGGCCCACTGGGTGTTAATGGCTCACAGCCCAGTTCTCTCTCTCTTTTTTTAAGATTTTATTTATTTATTTGAGAGAGTGAAGAGGGAGAGAGAGAGCACAGGAGAGGGAGAAGCAGGCTTCCCGCTGAGCAGGGAGCCCAAGGTGGTACTCGATTCCAGGACTCTAAGATCATGACATGAGCCAAGGCCAGACACCCAACCGACAGAGCCACCCAGGTGTCTTGGCCTAGTTCTTTCTCTCTGTACTCACATGGAAGCTTCTCTGACACCATGCTGAGGGGAGAAAACAATCTGCTGAGTACTATGGTCCTTTTTGTTTCTGAAATAGGCATGACATTGTTATACTAGAGCCATGTTTGGATCCCGATTTGAAGAAACCATTTGTAAAATGCCAGTTTTGAGACCAGGGGAAATTTGAGTATGAAGTAGGTATTAGATAAAATCAAGGAATTATTTGTTTACAAACTTTTTTTTAATATTTCTGTTAGGGGCCCCTGGTGGGCTCAGTTGGTTGAGCCTAAATCTTAAAAAAAAAAAAAAAAAGTTTCTGTTAAATGTGACAAGAGATTATGGTTATGTAAGAAAAATGCACATATTTTTAAAAAGATGCCCATCAAAGAATGTAGGGGTGAACTGACCTGTTTTGGGGTTTGTTTTAAAATGATTCAGAAAAGAGGAAAAAGAAGAAAGGAGTGGATGAAGCTATCACTGAGGACAGATATGTGGAAGTGGATTTTACTATTCTCTTTTATGCCTGTTTGAAATTCATTCTAAAATATCTTGAATACACAGGAAGATGTGTATGTGTGGGAACCTGTCATAAAAACAGATGGTCAGGGATCCCCGGGTGGTGCAGCGGTTTGGCGCCTGCCTTTGACCCAGGGCGCGATCCTGGAGACCCGGGATTGAATCCCACGTCGGGCTCCCGGTGCATGGAGCCTTCTCCCTCTGCCTGTGTCTCTGCCTCTCTCTCTCTCTCTCTGTGTGACTATCATAAATAAATAAAAATTAAAAAAAAAAAACAAAACAGGTGGTCAGTTACTTACACCACCTACACCAGCGCTACAAATGCTACCTTCCTCCTCTGTGAGAATGTTCCCTCAGCAGTCACAGGCAGGTGGGAGGAATAAGTCATTGGTTCCTATTTTCCAACCTGGTTAGCACTGGAATCACTCAGAAGGATCAGCTTTAAGGGGGTAAGAAAGTATCTGAGGTTTCCTCTTCAATACTGCCAAACCAGCCCACTTGGGGCTGTGGCTGCCCTCAGAGGTAACGAGTATGTATTTGGTTGGCATGTTCCCCATGCAGCTTGGAAGCCAGAGCCCCAGCAGGAGGAAACTCCCCGGTACTCAGTTCCCAATCCAGAGGAACCACAGAAAACCTGTCACTTCCCAGTACTCTGCCTTCGTGTCCTGGGGGAAGTGTCTCTCTTCCTGCCACATCACACATGAGGGATACGGTTCATGTGAGATCCACATACACAGGCGGTCCTGCCAGCCTTAATGTCTCCTCTCCCACTCAAGAAGGCATGAAGTTATGCAAGCCAGGAGCTTGTGCATCCATGATAATTCATAAAATTAATAAAGCACTAGAAAACATCACTGCTTTAAGTAAGACATTATTTCTGACACAGCTCTCAACAGACTGTCATCATAATGTCTTCCAAACCGAGGTTAAGGCCCCTGGGCCTCTGTGTCTCTACCATCTATACAACCACTTCCCTCACCTACCTCCCCATGTAGCTCTGAAGAACATAGGAAACTTTTTACAGGCATGTAGCACATTTATTTGAATAAGGAAGAAGTTCAATTTATTTCTTTTGGTGAGATAGGCCACAGGGCACAGTGTTTAAGAACAAGGAGTGGGATCAAGTAGCCTCAGACCCAGCCTTGCCTCTCTGGACCTTATTAGCTGAGTGACCTTTGGTGAGTTATATACTCTAAGCATGACACGGTCTTTCTAAAAGTGAGTTTAAGATTAGTACAACTAGCCTAAACTCATAATGCTATAGAGTAAGAAATGTAGTGCCTGGCACACAGCAAGGATTAATTGATTGATTTTTTATATTTTAAATTTTTTTAATTGGAGTTCAATTTGCCAACATTTAGTCTAACACCCAGTGCTCATCCCAAGTGCCCCCATTCATGCCCGTCACCCAGTCACCCCAACCTCCTGCCCACATCCCTTTCCACTACCCCTTGTAGGAGACACCTAACTCTTGTTTCCCAGAGTTAGGTGTCTACACAGCAAGGATTTTAGTAGCTATTAGCTATTACTGTTAATTCCCGTTACCCCGACTCTGTGGCAGGTCCTTGAAGAGCTTTGTCTTGTTCATTTATTTCCTCATGCTTAGCACACTGCCTGGCACAGGATAGTTCCCAATATATATGTGGTGAATTAATTACATCCACCATCCAACCAGTCAACACCTGCTGAGCCCCTGCTAAGTACCAGGTACTATTCTGTGTGCTAAAGATGGAGCAGTGAACAAGACAGAAAGGTCTGGTGCTTAACTCCAACAGGGAAAAACAGACAAGCACATGGGCAGAGGGATAGAACAGTTAAACAGAGAAGAACAGAGTGGGATTAAGGGGGCTTGGGAGAGCCAGTGGAGGGGGTGAGGTTGCTCTTTTATATATGGCAGGTCTCTCTCAGAGGGGGACCTCTGAGCAGAGACTTAACAGGTGCCCGCTGCATGCTCCGGGCAGAGGGGATGGCAGATGCAAAGGGCCTGAAGCCGGCAATGTGTGGTGTTTCTGAAGAATGAGGAGGACAGTGCCACCCGAGTGGGATGAATGAAAACACTTTTATCTCTTTTTCTACTTGATTAAAAATGAGCATACAACACAATTCAGTAATTGAAAAAGATGTATTAAAACATTCACAAAAGTACAATTTTGAAGAAGAAAAAACAAAAAACTAATAATGAACTTGATGGTTTTTTTCCCTAGCTGGATACATTTCCACTGAAAACCTACAGGTGGTTTGGGATTTTCACCTCTAAGAAATTCCATCTAGGTGGCCCCTTATCACACACAATTTTAAGAGGTCTCATTCTGCCAATGATTAGGGAAAGGGCCGTTCGGACACCCGGAAAGCAGCCCCCACTGTTGCCATCCGTGGCCAGGCAGGGGAACACTGGGACGAGGCGACAGAAGGGACCAAAAAGCCCAGAGGAGGCCAGGAAAAGGCCCCGACCCCAGGCGCTCCGCCCCAGCTGCGCGACCGCAGCCAGGAGGTCCTGTCGCCAGGTGCCCGGCTGGGGGCGGGGCGAGCCGGCAGGGGGCGCCCGAGGGCGCGCTGGGCGGGGGCCGGGCTGCAGGCGCGGGCGAGGGAGGCCAATCAGGAGGCTTTAGGGCCGCGTGCGGTAGTCGGGGCCCCGCGGGGAAAAGGACGCCCCTTTTCTCGGTAAAAAGTGCCTGTCAGTTAACGTGACACCTATAAAGGGGCACACTCGGGCTCGGGCGGCCGCACGAGGCGGAGGCGCAGCAGGGACAGCGCGACCCGGTCACCGCCACTCCCCGCAGGGGCGCTGCAAAGGCCTGGGGGGCAGGGGCGCCCCCCGCGGGCGCGGGGCCTGAGCTCGGCCTGGCGGCCCTGCTTTCCTCCTCCGGGCAGCCGGGCCCGGACCCCGCCCCGACCCCCGCGAGCTGGGGCAGCGGAGCCGCCACCACCAAGGGCTCCTCGGGAAATAAAAGTCCACGTGGACGGACGGACAGCAGGACGGACGGACGGGAGGCCGGTTCCGAGGCGCACGCGCCCTGGCTGTTTTGCCCCCGCGTGCACACCTTTACCTGCGCGCCCTTCGGGGTGGGGCGCGCCCGGGGAGTGACATTAGAGGGGAGGCGGGGGAGCCGCCCTGCGGGAGGAAGGCGAAGGCGAGCACCACCGGGTGTGCTCTGCGACCAGCAGGTCAGCGTCCTCGCCCTACCGGGGGCTTTCACGTCCTCTTAAGCGGAAAAGAAATTCTGTTACAACCAAATCATCCAGAAAGGGGGTAATGACCATATAAATGTTGGGTGACCTTCACCATGTTTTTCATTCCCAGTAAAAGATAAAAACTCCTAAGCTTGAGATGGGGGAAGGAGGGTAGTCAGTGGAAGAAAATGAACTCTTGGAAGGAATATCCAAACTTTTCCTCCTCTCGTTGTCTACCAATTCGACACAATGGGAAAAAGTGAAGGAAAAAAAAAAAAGAGGTAAAAACAAAAAAGGGAAATAAAATCAAAAGAACCCTATCCAAAACTCCAAAACAGTAAGACATTTCCAAAGTAGAAGTGCTAATAACCCTCCCTGCTGATTTAAAACACACACACACACACACACACACAAAAAAAAAAAAAAACAAAAAATACCCTAGACTATCCTTAACCTTTGAGGCGCCGTGAAGCTATTACAGAGCCATGACTAATGCTTCTTGCCAGAATCACCACGCAACCCTCTATAAAGAGGACTCTCTAGAGAGGGCTCTGAGACGCTACAAGCTGGCTTTGTAATTATCCCATTTGTGCCTACTTAAAAGGAAATAAAACTCCTCTCCTTTGGCTGTATGGGGACCCTTATTTCAAGCAGGAAGGTCTTAGGCAAAGACTGTAAGGGTACCTTTTACTCCACAAATGGTACAGTACTCAAGCGAGGCTGGGTTTCCTACTTCAATTATGTATATGGTATTGATCTAAAAGTACCTAGAAAGACGTGACCTTGGCGTTTATCCTTTGCTGGTCTTGCTAGGACGAATCCACAAACTGATAGGACAAACGGTTTAACATTAACGTCGGTCTCACAACATATAAAAGCAAAAAACCACCCTGTATTTTAGAGGGAAAAAAAACCACTCACAAAAACTTCTCAAACTGGGTTCAAGCGGCACAGCTAATGGAGGCTTTCTAAAACCTACAGCCAAATAGGTGGTGCTGACACTGGGTTAGAGGCCACCCTGGACACACTTCCATCTGTGTCTCCACTCTCCAACCACGATAAATGCTAAGACTGGTTAAGCCCTTAGATAAAAGGGCCATGTCTACTGGAATACTAAAGATCTGCTACCGTCTCCATTAAGGCAAACCACATCTAAATGACAGTGACAAGAATGTTTCTGACTTTTCCCAACTGTAAACAACCTTGAAAGAAAGTACAAAACAGCAAGACAATTTATATATGTAGAATCATACCATCTTCTCATCATGCAACATTGGCTCCCCATATCAGATTAAATAGAATATTTATACATATCCTTTATACACATCTTTTTCTCCATCCATGAATAAACATGTGCTTGTCCTTGCCCAGGTCTCCAAGGCCACATGTGGTTATGGGTTACATTCTCTGCACAAGCGTCCTGTTTGATTAGTTTCTTGCTTAGGATATGTTCTGGGTCTTCTCTTAATTTTTCCGGATGTCCGCATACACCACAGACTCTGACTTGTTAATCTTGTCACTGTGATGTCCACCAGAGTGGTCTAACTGCGCATATATGACTGGGCCCTGGAGAAGAGAAGGACAATTAGAGGTTTGGGGAAATCGGTGGTCCCTTCAGGGGCAGGTGCAGAAGCAATCGTTAAAGTGGTAACATTAGGGTTCCAGAGTAATGAGTTCCTTCTTTAGAATGTCTTCAAGAAGACCTCTTATGAACGCTATGTCCAGGACTGACTTCAAAACAACGTTGTTCACAATGTTGAACACAATGTTTTTGTGATTGTGAAAGCTGGTACAAGGAGGTATGTTACATTACTGTCTACTTCTGTAGCTGTTTGGGAATTTCTATACATAGAAAATTCCTCCTCAGGAAATTACCCTTATCTTCATACCTGACCTGCCACAGAATTCCTCAACCCTTGTAACTGGGATCAGAGTTTTAAGGACTAAGATGTACACTTCTACCAACCTGAGACCCACTGAAATCGTGAGCCTCAGAATGATGCACGTAAGAAACCAGCATGTTGGGTGTCACTCAAAAGATACGATCAATTTGAACGGGTCACTTTGTACAAACAGGCGCTTAAAAACATTTCAGATATCCTCCCATGTACTACTTAGAGTGTAATTCTTTTAGTCTGATCCTATCATAACCATTACAAGTATTGCTTCTTTGATATCTAAGATCAGGTAACTGGTTTTCCTGTTTTAAAATGAAAACCCAAAAGCCATGACCTGAAGCGATATAAAGAAAAATCTAGATGGACTAGCATACTAGCATAGAAGAGGTCTGCCCCCTGACCTCAGCAGTGAGGAAGGGGGTTCCAGGGACCCAGCCAGGGCACCCAGGGAAGGTGGGCTGCCTGGGGACACAGCGAGTTCTCAGACTCCTGGGGGAGGAGGTGTGAACAGCAGCAAGAGTTTCAAATACCAGAGGGATGTTTGCACTTCATGATCCCTAAAGTACCTTCCAACCCAGGGATTCTAAAGTTATAAACAACAATAACACAATAGCCCTGATTGTACAAGTTCAGTATAACCCCAAGTCAACCTTTCTCCCAATCCAGGAAATTCTCCTTGAGAAGTCAAATATTGTGCTTAAGCTTTCAACTTTGGAATCCTAAATTCAGTAGCGAGAAGCCTGTAGTTTCAACTAAACATCTTATTCCCACCCAGGAGCCCCACAGCCTGCATCCCCTAGAGGGTCATCCTGCAGATGTGCAGGCACTCCAACTTCTCCAGGAGGGACACACCAGCTGTCAGCACTGTACAGGGAGCACCCAAAGTGGAGTTACAAGGTAATACTCAGGGACATCTGGGTGGCTCAGTGGTTGAACGTCTGCCTTCAGCTTAGGGCGTGATCCTGAGATCCAGGATTGAATCCTGCATCGGGCTCCTTGCGGGGGGCCTGCTTCTCCCTTTGCCTATGTCTCTGCCTTTTTCTGTGTCTCTCATGAATGAATAAAATCTTTAAAATAAAAAAAAAAGTAATATTCAAGGGCTGTCTCTCAGGCCAACAGCCTGCCCACCAACAGCTGTGATTGAGAACACTGTAGACAGTCCAGCCAACTGTAGGGATGTGGGTGGGCCAGCAGAGATCTGCTGAACTGCTCCTGACCAGATGATCTGCCCAAACAACCTAAAGAACTGGGAGCCAAATAAATGGTGGTTGTTTTAGGTCATTATGTTTTGGGGTGGTTTGTTACACAGCAATAGGTAACAGATACACTAGGTGAGTGGAAAAGAAAGAGAACAGAGAAAGCAAAAATGAAAAAGAACACAGAATAGGTTATCAGTCAGTAAATGTTAAAATATCAGTAAAATCTCTCATGTGAGATGGTGTTGTCTTTCATGGCAAGAACACATAACAGTTTGTTGAAGGCAACTGGGAAAAAACTGAAAGATAAAAGGAATTCCCTCCTGTTGATGGATTTTTCTTTTTCCCCAAATTGCTTACCACTATCCAATGCCCTCAGTCCCTTTCCCTCTTACAATGGGGTCCTAAGATCAGGGACTTTGTTAGTTAAGTGCCTAGAGCAGTAGTGGGCAGACCCAGTAGGTGCTGGAGAAGGGGTGGACGATGTAATGGAACAAAGGAATTCTGGGATGTGGGTCCAGATCAGGCATCTGCTGATAGATCAATCTCCAACAGCTTTTTGAAGCCAGGTTCTGAACCTTATTGGGAGCTGAAAGTATTCTGGGTCTCTATGGAACATGGAGGATCCTGGAAACGAAGAGCAACATGGAAATGACTCTGCCACTACCAAGGCAGGCACTTTCAGGTATTTGAGAATTAATACATGAACAGCATCTAGATGTTTTTACTGTACATCTTGGCACGCATCCCCCCCACCTTCCACTTGTTTTTGCAGGGTGGGGTTGGGGGTGCTTTTCCACAAAGAATTACAGCAATCAAATGAAAAATTATTCCGGATACATTTTTACCCAACTGTTCACTACACAGACTGTCTTTGTTGAAAATGTTTCAAGAAACAAATTGCTTGACCCAGGTCTCTTCTTTTAGTGCCAGTTAGAGATAAAATTACTCCTGAATTCCATGTGTATAAAATGTATTAACATAAAAACATACTGGTGAAGGTGGGGAAAGAGGGTTCGTGAAGAGTCACGAAGGGCAAGGAGGCCTACCTCCAGGCATGTATTAATTACACAGAAGCTATGTGCTATGTCCCGCTTCCCCTTTCTGTAGTCTCTGCGGTCCTTCCTAATCTCAATCACACCTGATCCTCTAGCACCACTACCACCAAGAAAGAACATATCTGCTTTTACCACATGCTCACTGACTGTTCATGAAACACCCTTTTCAGTATTTATACCACTGCGAAAAATAGGTGTGAAACACAGTTACCTATTAGGACTCTGAGATACATGAAATCAATTATCAAAACGGAATTGAAAAGAAATGGACGGGCAGGAGAAAATAAGCACCTGCCTTTGAGCCAGACAGATCCAGGTCTAACACCAGCTCTGCCACTAACTAGTGACCTAGAACAAGTGACTCAATCTAACTAAGCTTCAGTTTCTTCATGTGTAAAACGGGATAAAAGAACCTCATCCGGCCGCTGTGAGAACCAGAGGAAGCGATGCGCCTGCATACTTCTTCAAACATTACTGGGTCTTTGTGACTCAGCCGAAAGGTGTGTAACTAGTCCACTCTATCACTGCCCCCCCCCCGCCCCCTACCAATACCTGCCTTGTGCATACAAAACATTAACCATTTCCAGAAAAGGATTCAGGAAAGATACCCACACGCAAAAAAATTATGTTAAACTAAACTTGACAAAGAGTTTTACTTCTCATCCCTAATGCTGGAATACTTTAAGTAGTGCCTACCTAACAACCTTCCCAAACCAACCTTCCACTTCCACTTGCTGGAAGAACCTTAATTTGGGTTCAGTGGTCAGCATCCCTTTACTCAGATAAACGATCCCACCCTTCCTTGCCTCCCCCCCCCCCCACCCTGGGGCGGGGGAGCCAATCATATTTCCCGTCCCCTTGCAGATGGGACTGGAAGTCATAAGCATGTGACCTGCTCCCAGTGGGGACTCAGAGAAGTTTGCTGGGGGGGCTTCTGGCCAAGATTTTCCTCCATAATTAAAACTGCATGGGAGGAGAGTCAGCTCTTCTGGCTGCCTCTTCTCAGGTGTTGCCTGAAACCACGGCAGCCATCTGGAGGCTGCGGGGAGCTCAAGAACAAAGACAATATACAGAAGATGAAAGAATATGGTGGAAAGAACATGTTTGGATCCTGATTTGAAGAAACCATTTGTAAAATGGTTTAACACTGTTGGGCCAGTGAACTCAAGAACACAGAAGTACCTTGCTTTGGGACCTCTTGTGAGTTAATAAACCTGTCTGTTAAAGCTACTTTTACTCAAGCCTTCTGTCACCAAGTCTATCAATGGTAACAAAAAATAGTGACCAAAGACAGAAAATAATACAGAAAACTTAATGTCCTGTTTCGGTGTTATGGTTCATCTTCTATAAATTTCCTTCTTAGCACACTCCTGTTAAGTTCTCTCCTGGAGTTATTTATTTATCCAAGTAGTAATTACTAATGCAATTAGATTCTCAGATGAGGGCAGCCCGGGTGGCTCAGCAGTTTAGCGCTGCCTTCAGCCCGGGGTATGATCCTGGAGACCCAGAATGGAGTCCCACGTTGGGCTCCCTGTGGGGAACCTGCTTCTCCCTCTGCCTGTGTCTCTCTCTCTCTCTGCCTCTCATGAATAAATAAATAAAATCTTTAAAAAAGAAAAAGATTCTCAGATGATGCCTGAGGGTAGAAGATGGAAGGTTTTGCTGATCAGGGAACGCGTCACAATAGAACTCCTGGAAGAAAGTACCAAGGGATAGTTTGCAAATATTCCCACCCACATCCCCACTTCACCGATCTGATTGCTAGCATGGGCAGCAACCGCCTATACCTGTCCTTATAAAGCACAGTGTGCCACGAGCCCTTATAATTAAAAATAGAAAAAAAAATGAGATCAACTTGTCCCAACCTATCATTTCAGAGGAGGAACAGATGCTGATGTCAAGTAATTCTCCCCAAGTTAATACCATTGTCTGGACCCCAGAGTCAGTGCTAGTTTGTAACACATCACTACCCTGGAGTTCAATTGAATATGAAGATTTTCTCAAGGCTGTTTGTGAGGGTATTCAAAAAACACCAAAAAACCTGTTCATTAGGATATTAAAAAAAATTCTCTACATCTGGGAAAAGCCTAAAAATAATCTTAACCACCCAGGAGACTCTAAGGTTCTTGAGTGCAGAGTCCAGGTGCTAATTATCCTCGCACTTTCTGAGTCTGGTCTACACTGCATGTACAGTAAACACCCACGTGTATGTGGAAGTGATCGAAACAGAATATCCAGAGGAATGATTAGATTTTTTTAAAGATTTTATTTATTTATTCAAGAGAGACACACACAGAGAGAGAGAGAGAGGCAGAGACACAGGCAGAGGGAGAAGCAGGCTCCATGCAGGGAATCTGACACAGGAGTCCTGGGATCACACCCTGGGCCAAACCGCTGAGCCACCCGGGCTGCCC